ATTTTTGTGTCCCCCTCAAAAATTGCTCTCGTGAAATTTTATGTTTACTTCCCCCCCCTACTGTGAGATGAAACTTACGCCCATGCATAGCGCCCAGAGAACCTGATGTGGAGAGGGCAGAGGAGAGGACCGGCAACTTGAAAAAGTCCCAGTACACCAAATGTTTGCGGGTCGTGGTCTCAGACCTGTTCAGTCAAATCTATACTGCGCACCATAGTGGTTGATGGTGGAGAAGTGGAACCATCCTGTCAGTCATGCGGTGCGCAGCGTAACATTAGTTCATTAGGAAAGTATGTTCATTTAAGTCTGTTTATCTTTTTAATGTGAATGTAACAATAAAAATACATTGTGTGATTCAAAATAATGGTTGTTGAAGAATGAATTAGTGACCGCAACAGATGCTGATTTTACTGCTTCCATGGGAGCTCAGACCTCCTTATGGGAGCTGAGCTCCCACTGGCTCCCACGTAACTCCAACCCTGTTTAAAGTGCTCTATAAACTAAATTGATTGATATATTGATGAAAGTTCTCCAGCAGAGCTCTTTTTTAAATGCAGCAAAATCATAATTTTGGACTGTGGTGTCTACACGTTGAATCTAAGCTGTAACCTGACCTGCACCTCCCCAAAAATGCAACAACATGTCGCGGCGATGCAGAACTGTACCTTCTGTGAGACTCATACAGAAACAGCATTACATATGTTTTGTCAGGATGTACAGTATGTACATTTATTAATGATTAGATACAGTGGGTACGGAAAGTATTCAGACCCCTTTAAATTTTTCCACTCTTTCATTGCAGCCATTTTCCAAAAATCAAAAAAGTTCATTTTATTTCTCAGTAATGTACACTCAGCACCCCATCTTGACAGAAAAAAACAGAAATGTAGAAATTTTTGCTAATTTATTAAAAAAGAAAAACTGAAATATCACATGGTCATAAGTATTCAGACCCTTTGCTCAGCATTTAGTAGAAGCACCCTTTTGATCTAATACAGCCAGGAGTCGTTTTGGGAAAGATGCAACAAGTTTTTCACATCTGGATTTGGGTATCCTCTGCCATTCCTCCTTGCAGATCCTCTCCAGTTCTGTCAGGTTGGATGGTAAACGTTGGTGGACAGCCATTTTCAGGTCTCTCCAGAGATGCTCAGTTGGGTTTAAGTCAGGGCTCTGGCTGGGCCATTCAAGAACAGCCACGGAGTTGTTGTGAAGCCACTCCTTCGTTATTTTAGCGGTGCGCTTAGGGTCATTGTCTTGTTGGAAGGTAAACCTTCGGCCCAGTCTGAGGTCCAGAGCACTCTGGAAAAGGTTTTCGTCCAGGATATCCCTGTACTTGGCCGCATTCATCTTTCCCTCGATTGCAACCAGTCGTCCTGTCCCTGCAGCTGAAAAACACCCCCACAGCATGATGCTGCCACCACCATGCTTCACTGTTGAGACTGTATTGGACAGGTGATGAGCAGTGCCTGGTTTTCTCCACACATACCGCTTAGAATTAAGGCCAAAAAGTTCTATCTTGGTCTCATCAGACCAGAGGATCTTATTTATCACCATCTTGGAGTCCTTCAGGTGTTTTTTAGCAAACTCCATGCGGGCTTTCATGTGTCTTGCACTGAGGAGAGGCTTCCGTCGGGCCACTCTGCCATAAAGCCCCGACTGGTGGATTGCTGCAGTGATGGTTGACTTACTACAACTTTCTCCCATCTCCCGACTGCATCTCTGGAGCTCAGCCACAGTGACCTTTGGGTTCTTCTTTACCTCTCTCACCAAGGCTCTTCTCCCCCGATAGCTCAGTTTGGCCGGACGGCCAGCTCTAGGAAGGGTTCTGGTCGTCCCAAACGTCTTCCATTTGAGGATTATGGAGGCCACTGTGCTCTTAGGAACCTTAAATGCAGCAGAAATATTTTTGTAACCTTGGCCAGATCTGTGCCTTGCCACAATTCTGTCTCTGAGCTCTTCAGGCAGTTCCTTTGACCTCATGATTCTCATTTGCTCTGACATGCACTGTGAGCTGTAAGGTCTTATATAGACAGGTGTGTGGCTTTCCTAATCAAGTCCAATCAGTATAATCAAACACAGCTGGACTCAAATGAAGGTGTAGAACCATCTCAAGGATGATCAGAAGAAATAGACAGCACCTGAGTTAAATATCAGTGTCACGGAGTGTCACGGCAAAGGGTCTGAATACTTATGACCATGTGATATTTCAGTTTTTCTTTTTTAATAAATTTGCAAAAATTTCTACATTTCTGTTTTTTTCTCTCAAGATGGGGTGCTGAGTGTTCATTACTGAGAAATAAAATGAACTTTTTTGATTTTTGGAAAATGGCTGCAATGAAACAAAGAGTGAAAAATTTAAAGGGGTCTGAATACTTTCCGTACCCACTGTATATTCAGGTTTCTGCTTGTTCTGGCAGAATATCTTTTTTAGTGTAACACTGCGACCATTATTTCTTAATCAATTTTATGTTGTTTCTGGCTAAATTTCATAAACACAAATGCAAATTTACAAACAAAAACCCCATTTATAGTCTTTGAGAAAGAAACTTTATTTTTGAACTGTTTCTCCTCCAACAGAAAGGCTTTGAAGATAGGCTACTTAATGTCTGTACTCGCTTAAAGGTCTGTGATATCCTTCAACCAAGTCCAGTTGCCCTTGACTTTAACCTTCTGAGAACCTTCACAGATATCTGTGATATCCTTATTTATTTTCGCTGTATTGTTCTGTTATTGAACCCCCTAGCTATAAATACATCGCTATCCCTAATGTGAAGTATCCATTGCAATGTTAAGATTGGTGATATATGTTGCTATTTGATATTATTAAAAAGGAAGAAAAAAAGACAGACAGCAAGAACTGTGATTGGTCGGCATGGTAGCCTTCAGGAAGTGCTCCGTTCTTTGAAGTACATTTTATTATTAACAATAATAACAGTAATTTTATTGCATCTCTTGACTCGCACAGACTTCACTCAGTAAAAATCTTGGCACTCCATTATTACGTTACGTAAGTCACGGACCAGGTAATGCAACAGCAGGCACTAGAGTGCAGATGGTTTCGGTTGTTTCATAGGCTACGTCATTAACAAGCCGGCATGCGGCTCACCTGCTGCCGTGATAACAGATCACGGGTGGAAACATATGAAAAAAGACGAGTTCTGTGTGTTTTAGGCGACTTTATAAAACACACTGCTGATGGAGAAAGTGGAGCAGACAGGCGGAGAGAGACAGAGATGTAACGTTAGGTGTGTGTGAGTGTGGGGAGAAGAGAATTCAGAGACAGGTGCAAACCAGGTATTTTTAAAAATGATAATGATAATGTTTTTGGGGATTAAATCCTGCTTTCACCAGCCATCAGCCATCACCGATGGCATCGTCTATCGGCCCAACCCCAGTGTGTGGATGCTACCACGGTACTTGATCAATAAAGGAGCTTCGAGGTTGAAAAGCCATTTGATCAGAAAAAAGCGACACTACTGAGAAATGTAGTTAGACTTGTAACACTGCAGCTACATTAATCTCAACAAATTTAGGAGTTGTTGAGATGAACCATCAAACACTTCTATCCAGAGCTGGACTGGGACAAAAAAATTGGCCCTGGCATTGTTGGCTCAGGCGGCTCACCTAAATTGGTGAGACACTTCTCACCGATACACCATCCTTCCATATATAACATGTGTACCTACTGTACACAAACAAGCCGAGTGGTATGTGCCATGGATAAGTGCACCAGTGCAAGTGAATCAGTGTACTCATATGTTATAATCATCAACCTTAATTGAAGTAATCATCATCATTGTCACTACAGCATGGCACACATCCTACCCAAGGGCCTCACTTTGTGTTGAACAGTGGTGGGGACATTTAAGGGCTCAGATTAGGGGGTGACGACACACTTTGCCCATGAGATGTGACATTGCACAAGATTGGGGTCACGAGAACAAGACAAGAATATATTTGAATACTATTTTGAGCATTAAACACTTAATTTCCTGCATTCTGGGGATAATTTCTGCACCAATTTATGGTGGAATGTCTTTATTTATGTAAAGGGAAGCACAAATTCAGTTGGCAAGTGATGATTCAGAATATAAAAATGTAATAGAATAATGCAGTAATCTGTAGCTCTTTTTTAGCTTAAGTTACTTTTTTTGGACAACACAGATGTTTCTTCTATGTTTTTATTGCACTGCTGGTTTTCAGAATAGTGCAAATAAACCTTTCTCAAAGCATTTTCATTTGTTAATTAACATTTCTTAACATTAACATTTTTAACAAATGCTTTCAAAAAGTGATGTGGACAACATCTGCCATTTCAAAAAGTGGTGGGGACATGTCCCCAGTGTCCCCAGTGTAAATGACACTATGACCCTCCCTCCCTGCTCCCTCCCTACAGGCTGAGCTACTCCATGCTTACCGCTTCACCTCCACTCTCCTCCTGCTAACATATCGGTTATTTTGCGCATTTGGTGGCATCCATCTGAAGAATTTAATTTTATTTGGCCCACAACTCAAGAAACAGAAGGCAGAGGAGGAGGGGGGGTTTGTAAGAGATGTGATTGGGCCAGCCCAATGTCAGTATAGAAAATTACCCAATGTGCTGCGGTACATGCTTTATGGGGCGACCGTTGGCCCATTTTCTAAAACAGTTGAATAAATAAGTAATTTATGTTACACTGGCCCCAAAGTTTCGTCGGCCACAAGGCATTTACCTGGTATGCCAGATTACCAGTCCACCCCTGATTCTATCCATAGAGAAATGCTGCAAGCAGGTCTCACATTAGAATGATTTTACATCCAAGTTTCTGATGTTTCTAATGGTTTCCAATCGATAAGACTTCTGGAGAGCCGTGTGTTTCCTATCTCAGGCCTACTCACTGCTCTGAACAGAATGAGGAGGAATAAGAAGTCCTTCATGATGATGGACTCCAGTAGACAGACAGAAAATAACAGAAATTAGAGACACATGCAGTGTGTGAGCTCTTGCGGTCTGTCCAAACCTGAGAGTGTCCAGTCTCCAGTGTGGATCCTCCAATCCAGCAGACAGCAGCTTCACCCCTGAGTCTCCTGGATAGTTGAAGCTCAGATCCAGCTCTCTTAGATGGGAAGGGTTGGAGCTCAGAGCTGAGGCCAGAGAAGCACAGCCTTCCTCTGTGATCAGACAGCCTGACAGCCTGGAATCAGGAAAACATCATAAACTCTGTGTTTTAGAAAATCATGTCAGCAGGAAACTCCTACAGACCATTTTCACTAACATGAACCTAAAATCAGATGAAGAGGATTTAAACGAAACAGCTTATTACTGACCTGAGAGTTTCCAGTGTACAGTGTGGACTCTCGAGTCCAGCAGACAGCAGCTTCACTCCTGAATCCTGCAGGTTGTTGTTACTCAGGTCCAGCTCTCTCAGACTAGAGGACTGGGAGCTGAGAACTGAGGACAGAGCTTCACAGCTTCTCTCTGAGAGGTTACAGTCACTCAACCTGAAAAAGGATTAGCAATGGACACAAACTAAATGATTTATTTGTCAAATATACAGTTTTAGAAATTGCACATCCATTTATCCACCTACAGAACTTTGTTGGAGGCTTTGACCACTGGCAGCAGCCTCAGAAGAGCCTCCTCTGAAGCAGAGTATTTCTTCAGGTCAAACACGTCTAGATCTTTTTCTGATGACAGTAAGATGAAGACCAGAGCTGACCACTGAGCAGGAGAGAGTTTATCTGTGGAGAGACTTCCTGAACTCAGGGACTGTTGGAACTGCTCCACTAGAGAACGATCATTCAGTTCATTCAGACAGTGGAACAGATTGATGCTTCTCTCTGGAGACAGATTCTCACTGATCTTCTTCTTGATGTACTCAACTGTTTCCTGGTTGGTCTGTGAGCTACTTCCTGTCTGTGTCAGCAGACCTCGTAGGAGAGTCTGATTGGTCTGCAGTGAAAGACCCAGGAGGAAGCGGAGGAACAAGTCCAGGTGTCCATTTGGACTCTGTAAGGCCTTGTCTACAGCACTCTGGTAGAGATGTGTTAGTTTAGGTTTGTCTCTGAAGACTTTAGACAGTCGGGAGGTTGATTGTTCTTCTGCCAGCAGATTGACACCAGAGTTGATGAAGGTCAGATGGACATGAAGAGCAGCCAGAAACTCCTGAACGCTCAGATGGACGAAGCAGAACACCTTGTCCTGGTACAGCCCTCTCTCCTCTTTAAAGATCTGTGTGAACACTCCTGAGTACACTGAGGCTGCTCTGATATCGATGCCACACTCTGTCAGGTCTGATTCATAGAAGATCAGGTTGCCTTTCTGCAGCTGCTCAAAAGCCAGTTTTCCCAGAGACTCAATCATCTTCCTGCTCTTTGGACTCCAGTGTGGATCTGTCTCAGCTCCTCCATCATACTTGGTGTTCTTCAGTTTGGACTGAACCACCAGGAAGTGGATGTACATCTCAGTCAGGGTCTTGGGCAGCTCTCCTCCCTCTCTGGTCTCCAACACCTCCTCCAGAACTGTAGCAGTGATCCAGCAGAAGACTGGGATGTGGCACATGATGTGGAGGCTTGTGATGTCTTGATGTGGGAGATGATTCTGCTGGCCTGCTCCTCATCTCTGAATCTCTTCCTGAAGTACTCCTCCTTCTGTGGGCAGTGAACCCTCTGACCTCTGTCACCATGTCAACACACTCAGGAGGGATCTGATTGGCTGCTGCAGGTCGTGTGGTTATCCAGAGGCGAGCAGAGGGAAGCAGGTTCCCCCTGATGAGGTTTGTCAGCAGCACATCCACTGAGGTGGACTCTGTAACATCAGTCAGGACCTCATTGTTGTGGAAGTCCAGAGGAAGTCGACACTCATCCAGACCGTCAAAGATGAACACAACCTGGAACTCTTCAAAGCTGCAGATTCCTGCTTCTTTGGTTTCAGGAAAGAAGTGATGAACAAGTTCCACCAAGCTGTACTTTTTCTCTTTCAGCACATTCAGCTCTCTGAAAGTGAATGGAAATGTGAACTGTATGTCCTGGTTGGCTTTGTCTTCAGCCCAGTCCAGAGTGAACTTCTGTGTTAAGACTGTTTTCCCAATGCCAGCCACTCCCTTTGTCATCACTGTTCTGATTGGTTCATCTCTTCCAGGTGAGGCTTTAAAGATGTCTTCTTGTCTGATGGTGTTTCTGGTCTGTCTGGTTTCCTGGATGCTGTTTCAATCTGTCTGACCTCATGTTCATCATTGACCTCTGCAGTCCCTCCCTCTGTGATGTAGAGCTCTGTGTAGATCTGGTTCAGAAGGGTTGGGTTTCCTGCTTTAGCAATCCCCTCAAACACACACTGGAACTTCTTCTTCAGGTTACACTTGAGTTTACGTCGGCACACTGCAGCAGCAGTTCCTGAATGAAGAAAGAAGAAATGTGATTAATAAGTGGATGCTGCAGTAAATCTGATAAATGTAAACTTTAAGACATCAAGATGGTATTTATTTTCCTCCTCCATGAAATCTCTTCAGCTCATCAGCTGTGAACAGTTTCTGAGTTTCAGCCCAGAAGAATTCATAGATCTGATCCAAATGTGTGCATCATATTAACAGCAGAGTTTGAAATGGAAACTTCTCCCATGTTGCCTCCATTTCCTCTTTCCATCATGTTAAATCTGTTCAAATCCTCTTACTGCTCTGCAGACGCTCAGCCAGCTCCTCCTGCTTCATTCTCCTCAGGAAGTGCAGTGTGATCTTCAGAAATGCCTCTCTGCTGCTCCTCCTCTGCTCCTCCTCCTCACGTCCAACACCTCCTCATCCTCCCTCTGACTCTCTAAGCATTCTGGGTAATCTGGACTCAGAACTCTCTGGAACTTCTTCACCTCGTTCTTCACAAACCTGCCAATGTTTTCCTGGAGCAGCTGGAACAGAAGAAAATGTAAAGTTGAACTGGTAGAAGTCAACATCAGATCATCTGTGACAGACAGAAAGCCTGCTGGTCTGCAGAGTGCAGCATGGAGACTGGATCAGAATGCTGCTTCACTATTTACTTTGTGGACTGCCCTGTCTCCTATAATATTTTTAAAGGAAACATATTGCTTGCTGAGATTTCTACATAATGAGTAAATGCTGTTAAAGAACAAATTAAGCAAATCACAGAAATGTTGATACTGAGTGTATCAGTCAGATGTTCTGTAGAACAAGTTGGTGTTATTGAGGACTGTTTCCATATGGTGCTGGTTATTCTATAGTGGGAGCCCTGCGGTGGTAGTGTAGCCTAACTGACGTCACACAGTTAAAATTGGTGCGTATCAGTGGGCTGGTGGAGTGATGGACTACAGTTGTGCAGTGCAATAACTTTCATTACAAGTGCGTGAATGAAAAAGAGTATTTTTGTATCTTTGTGTCGATGCAGCTAAACATACATTCTGTTATGTTGTTACTGCAGAGGGAAGAAATAAACAGCATATCAACCCTCTCTCAGCTCTTTATTTCATATTTGGTCTTAAGTGATGTTCTGCTGTGACAAACAGAACTAGCACCCAGACTGAGCGTATTCCTGTTAGCTCCAACATATTCTAGTTTTCCTCTAAAATATCTGATCTCACAATAGGTTATCAGCTGGGACTGACTGCAGCTTTATGGATTATGGCTGCCTGTGAACATCATCCAGAAATTAAATATAAAATAATTTATAGAAATAATTTCAATGACATTTTTGTGCTGGCTCCTGTAATTAGCAGTAGTAGCTGAGCTTGTACATTTACACACCATAAATATGGAGTCCAGGTCTGTTTGATGCTGCTGGGCAGACTGACCACTGGGAACCTCTGAGCTCTGCTGATCAACTCTGTGAAGAAATATGATGATTTGAACATATAATGACAAACAGTGTTACATGTGCTGTGTTATATCTGGTAGAAACAGATCCTCATACACCTATACCAGATCTTGGTATAAAAATGTATGATCTGCTCACTTTCCATGGAAACACCGCTGGGTGCAGGGTAGACTGGACAGGAGAAAATGCTGCTGTTTTACTCATCCAGCTGTGTCTCAGTGGACATCAGCGGACGAGGAGGCTGCTGAGGTCCTACTGGACTCTAACTGGACTTACAGTTACAGTAAGCAGCAGACAAAAGGGCATGCTCATACTTTTAATATTTTTACTTTCTCATGTGTTTGCCATTTGTTTTGCACTGTTCTTTGAACCTGGTTCATTTCTGTGCTGCTGATGTGACATGAGAATTTCCCTCTGGGAATAAATAAAGAGTCTATTATTATTTTTAATTAACAAAAAACAGTGCTGAACCAAGACCTACCTGAGAGCTCTTTTTAGGAGAGTCAACAAAACAACACAAACATTTAAGATTCTTACTTTTGTTCAGCATCATTATGTCCAGCTTTGAAGTGAACAGGGACATGACGGTCGCTGTTCATGGACACACAGCTGGGTCCAGGAGAATCTGGTCTCTGCCGATGGATCCTGAACAATGAAATAACAAATCAGATGTGTCCTCAAAGCAGATTTAATAGATATATTTATGTGTTGGTGTCTCTGGTAGTGAGTTTTCAGCTGAATCTGCAGTTTCTCAGCGTTACAGAGTTTTATAGCGACTTTCAGTTGTTGTTTATCTGTCCAGCTGCATCTTTACTGTTAATAACTCAAAACTAAACTTCATTCACCTCCATTGAGCAAGAGGAGGCTCCATAGACAATGTTCTTATACATTCTCAAACCTGCATCCAGCTGTTTGTAGATTTGAACTGTGGTTTTGATATTTGGACTAAGATCTGCAAAATGTGAGACCAGTTTGAAAAAAGTGAAGAGTTAAGAACATGAAGTGATCAAAACAAAGACACCAAACCTCATCTCAGGAGAGACACAAACATTTAACATGCTGACCTTTGATCAGCAGAGTGGTGTCCACCTTTGAAGACAATAGCTTTGTCCATAGACCGGTCACTCTTGATGGACACACAGCTGGGTCCAGGTCCAGGTCCAGGTCCAGGTCCAGCAGAGTCTGGTCCCTGCTGCTGCTCTGGGCTTCAACACAACACACACAGAGCTTTGAGAGTGAATAATGATGGTGGAGTGATTTGAGTCCTGGACAGTTAGAGATCCTCATCTCACCTCTGAGCTTTGGTCTGGCTGTCATGTTCCCCACACAGAGTGCTTTTAGAGGGAGGGACTCCCTCCTCTCTGTCCTCACACTGATTCATAGCAGAGCCCACACCTTCACACAAACACAACAACATGCTGAGAGAGCTGCACTCATTCATTACAACAAGCTTTACATCTCAGGACACTTTAGTTCTCCTCAAGGTCTGTGTCTTTAAATCTTTATTTCTGTCTTTAAATGTTTAAATCATGACCAGAGAGACACAGGATGGCTGATTTTACTTTGGTCCTTCTCTATTCCTGTGAGGGCCCCTGATGGCTGAGGGGCCCTAATCAACCTCTAAGTTCCCCTCCACCCTGGGCTGGCTCTGGTCCATCTAGAAAGGATCCTGGAGCCTCTGGTACAGCTGAGACCTGGGGCCTCATGTATAAACGCTGCCTACGTATAAAAAGGTTACGTACGCTGGTTTTCACGCACACGTGGGATGTATAAAAATGAACGTGATGTGAGAATGTGAAGTCCCTCCACAAACTTTTGTCTGGCTGTCAGTAAACTGCTAAAGTGCCAAAACTCACCAAATGTTTCAAAATAGTGTTTCCACTGCAATTACTGTGCAGATGTCAATGGAGTAGTCTATCAAAATCCTAATTATGTCTTTTGACAAAGGTTTGATCATGTATGTAGTGGTTTAATATCAAAATAAAATTGAATGTGAGAAAAATAGATCATGATGACTTTCACATATTTCATTTCACTTCATTTCACATGTTACCACTTTATCATGTAAACATTCAAACCAGCAGTGTTATTTGTGCTCGCACTAGTCAGCCATAACTATTCCATACTGCACCTTTCAATTGGAAAAGAAATAAAATAAGCCAAGTGCCAACTGCAGGCTGCCTTTCCCCGGTATTAGCCGGTGTGTTTACCTGAGGTGTAGGCCTCTTTAATAATAATGTTCGTTGTGATTAAAACCTGCTTTCACATAGCGGTATAATGTGAAAAATGTAGATTTTTTTTTTGACGGGGGGACGGGGTTTTACAATCACAATGCCATCGCCGATGGCTGACAGATGGCTTTTATACATGAGGCCCCTGGACTGTTCTAAAGGGTCTTCAGTGAAACCAAGTCCGTCTCAGTGTTGGAAGATGTCTGTATTTGAGCCCTGAACTCTTCATCCATGCACTTAACTTCAGAGTATTAACAGTTAAACCAGAAACCTGAGCCAAGTGGATCCAAGCTGTCAGACCAGTTCAGACACACCCTGCATGTTTCACTGATGATGTGAGCTCAGACTACAATCAGACTGCTGCTGATTCTACTTGAGAAACATGAACAATATTACAGGGAAATCTTTCTGAAATCATTGTTCTTTAACTCGGAGAGAAATTCTACAGCAGATTTCAAAGAGATATTTAGAAACAGCCAATCAGCATCAAGAAGCATTTCTACTGTCCAGTTAAACAGTGATCCAGCACAATGTGATCAAAGTGATCCTGATTATCAGACATTTACAGATTCCTCTGGTCGGATTCTCACCTGCTGAACTCACTTCAGGTCGACTTACAGACACTTTGCACCTTCATGTGTGGAGGAAACACTGGGAGAGAAGAAGCTGCTCATTTCTTCCTCGTCAGTCCTGGTGTCTGTGTGCATCTGATCTGAGGACGCCGTCACAGCCTCATAACTTCAGAGTCTAAAAAACATCAGAGTGACGTCAAAACCGGTCTAACCTGTGGCAGAAACCCAGTCAGTATCAGAGGAATCACACATCAGGTGATGTAGTTCTGCTACCTGTCCACTAGATGGTGCTAACTAACCATCTGATGAAGTAAAGATCAGCTCAGCACTGGAAGATGTCATGAAGCAGCAGTGTGGATCAGTTGGTTCACTACTAGATTTTGGACGTGTTGGTTTGTAATGAGGCAGAATGCAGCTTGAGATCCCCGGGCGGGGCCCTTCACTCTGTTCCTCAGTCCTGGTTCCTAACAAAGGGGGACCAGAACCTCCAGAACCTCAGGCTGCCACAGATGGTGTTAAAGCTCTTCTTTAAACAGACTTTTGCTTCCAATCATTTTTCTTTAAAGGCCTTTTTACTCGTTTGTCCCTGTAAAGACTTTTTACCTTTGTTTTAAAAGCTGTTCTAAAGATAAAATATTTGTTATTCTTGTCACTTCTAATGGTGCTACTACTACTGTAGCTGTCATCAGCTGGTTATACAGTTTAAGTTCAGTAATGTATATTATAGCGGAACTAATATTCTTGTGTCACAGTGGGGTCGGGTCATTATTAGTGTCATTCTATTAGCAATAGAGGGAGAACACCTGACCGATCTGCTGGAGGACGATGTCTGGAGATCTGTTGCTGTTTAAGAAATGTTATGAAGATTCATTAAGTAAAGAAGATCAAGCTAGAAGGTTCCTTTTACTCCCCTTGAGTTAACGCAGCCAATGAGGTTATTTGTATGGTTTTACATTGTGTTTATATTATTGGACAGGCTAACTACAGCTAATACGTTAGCCGAGTTTCACGTGATAATAACGTGATAGCATCGTCCATCTGAATGTCAAGTAAGCTAATTATCTGCAAGTTTAACAGCTTGTAGTCTGCAAGGGGATGGTTTTGTAAGTTATTTTGTGTTTGTGAAATATTTGTTTAATGATTGTTCAATGCTTTGTATTTTATTAGACTCATGTCTAGTTCTCACAGCATGCTGGACGACGTGAATGTCGGAATAAATGCCTGTAACCAATGGAACGCCTTGTGTTCGTGATTTAAACTGGAGGGGAGCAACAACTACAATTAAAGCTGCAAGCAGCGTTGGGCGGGCCCTCGCACTTGTAGCGCGTCCGCGCGTGAGCCGGCCGAGTTGCACATTCTGGAGCTCTGCCGGTGCGGCTGTGAATTTCCTACGCGTTTCCGACGCCGCATGAAGGTGCTATATGTCACTTCCTGTGTCCCCTATGTGGAGCTACATAGCACTTGCCGCTATGAATATAAATCGGTATTGGTGTGTAGATGTCTGCGGGGTGGGAGAGTTATCAAGCACGTAAAGTTTTTTCAGATGTGAGCATGTACACTGAACAATAATGTACCCAAACATAAA